GGGACCCACCTCGTTCCTCCACAGGGGACGCGTGAGGGCAGCGAGGGGGGGCGGCGGGGAGCGGGTCCCTCGGCCGCGCGCGCGCGTGGGAAAACAAACAAACAAACCAAAACAAAACAAACAACACCCAGAGAAAACACAAATCAAACAAACAATCAAACTAACTAACCCGCGACTGACTTAGGGATAAGAAAGGCACGCGAAAAGCGTTCCTATGTGGATTACCCCCCGGCACGGAGGGGGCTGCGGGCGGGTTAAGCCCCCCCCCCCTCCTCCCTCAGAGGGGGCGGCTCGGCTCCCATTGGCCGCGCGCCGCCACGTGCCGCGCCGCCCCCCCTTCCCCCCCACCAGCGCTCCGGCCCCGCTACCTGCGGCGGGGCCGCCCCGCGCCCATGAGGAGACACCGGCCCGGGCAAGGCGCAGGTACCCGGGGGGCTGCCGGGCTGGGGGGCACCGGGAAACGGCGAGAGAAGCGACAGGGGGAGCACTGCAGGGGGAGGCCCGGCCCGGCCCGGTGCGGGGCCTGCGGGTGCGGGCTGGAGTCCCCAGTATGTGCCCAGCCCGTGGGAAAGGCACCGGCACGGCTGGGCTGGGGGAGGTCGGGGCTGGGAGCGCTGGGGGCGGGTGGGCTGTGGGAGCGGCGTTTGCCTTCGGGGAGGGAGAGGATGTAGCCGCGGCTGTCTTCGGTTGTCCCTCTGGAATGGGATTAATAGCCTCTCTCCGCCTGTCTGCGGGATGCGATAGGCTTTTTGTGGGTAATTTTGTCTCTTCATGCTCGGACTGATGTGAATGCTAAACAGATACGGCTTCTGCTGCTGCTGCCAAAACCTTTTTATTTTCTTAATCCCTGTTCACGAAAAAGACTTTTGTTTAGCTTCCTTCCTTTTTTTTTTTTTTTTAATTAATTATTTTGCGTGTGTGCTGAGCTTTGCCTACTTATTTATTTTTATTTATTATTTATTTCATTCGGTAAGATCAAAATATGAGGCTGATGGAGGGGTGTTTATTTTGCAGCTCTCTTTAGTTATGGAAACGAATAGGAAACGAATCATAAAACTACTGGATGTAAACAGCTCTCCCTGTGGATAATGGCTGGCTTTGTCTCGTTCTGGGTAAAAAGGGTAGATTAAGGTGCATGTTTCTTGTTTTTGTATGGAAAACTTGTAGAGAATGTTCTTTACGTCTCTGAAGTGGTGTTTTTAAAGGCAGCTTACGGTGGTGCTGTCCAGACGCAGTTCAGAAGGGGTGTTTGCCCTGCAGACTGTTATTCCATCTGCTGCAGCGAGGTTACTATCTCCCTTCTAGATCGCACAGCAGGAAATCTTGAGCTGTCTCCCGAGCCCTCTGCTAGCCAGACTGAGGGAATGTCTTTTAAAGGTCAAAATGCAGCTGGAGAGTTAGTGCGTGAAAGCATTTTGGTGCATTCTCTGCTTCCTCTGGGCTGACGAGAAATGAGCTCATCCCACCTCGGGTTTCCTGGAACTTCCTCGCGTTCGGCATCCTCCTTTCTGTGGAGTTTCATTAAATTGGCCAAATGATTGGCAGGCAGGCAGGCAGGGCGAGGATGTAGGAAGACAAAATGTGGTAGTAGGAACTTCCTTTTACTGAGGAGAACAGGCTAAAAATGTTCAGTTTTGTCAGCTTTGCGTACATGAGTTTAGGCGATGGATATCAAATGTGCCAAGACTGCTGTGGAGTTGGAGTGTTTGGAGGGCAGGTTGTTTTGTTTAGATAAGAGAGCCTGGAAAACTTAAGTAGCTCTTGAGTTTTGGTAAAGGCTGATGTACTGAATAAGCCCCAGATGGTGCTTCAAACTTGTCATGGCATAATTTTCAGACCACAAGTGAGTCTGAACGAAGCCTGCTGAAATACAACAGGTAAAAGCATCTTCAGCAGGTGCATCCAGAGTTTCAAGACCACACAACTCTACTTAGGACATGAGTCTTCCTTGTTACAGGCAGCTCTCTTTCATAAGGTTATTGGCAATTTATTATGGACTTCCTTAAAAGTTGTGTAGTCTGTTGTTTTCCATTACTCCTATGGGAAGGCTATTCCTTTGCTACTCGGGAATCTTGAGCTCCTAGTCCCTGTTTATTTATATCTGCTTTTTCCAGTGTGCTAACATGGTGTTTTTGTTTAAATTGTTTGCTTTTAGCTTTGTTTACATGTTAGGTGTATCTAAGGACAACCTGTTTTTGTAAAGCTGGACAAGCCAAGCTTTCTCTCTGTTTTCCTCGGGAGAAGCTTTTCCTTCGCCCATCCCATCAGCACTCTGTGCTACCTGTTAGGTCCTGAAGTCTTGGATTCAGAATTTAAGCATTAGAATTGGTTCCAGCAATGTTCTTTGCTGTATTATAGTTTCCTTTCTAACCTTTTCTTCACAGGAGACATCTCCTCTTTTGCTTCTGTAGGCTCAAGTGTGATTTTACCATGATCTCTTGGAGTGTTGTTAGATGATACCCTGGTGAAAATGCTGCTGTACTGTTAACATTGTTCCATAATTACCAGTTGTTCAGTGCTATTCTGCTGCATAATTCAAATGTAATACGAAACATCTTGGCTGTGTTGAAATAGTCATGTTTCCTTAGCCCAGTAAAGATTAATGCCGTGCCCTGTCTTTTCCGACCATTTCTTTTAGGAAAGATTTACTCCTCAGACTTCCCGTGTAAGGGGAAAGACCTAATTTGTTTTGGCTTCCTTGCAGGGGTTCAGAAATACCTTCTGCTTGTGCGCCTTGAGCTTGCCCAGCTGGTGGTTTTGAGCATTGAGCTGTCATTTAGAACCTCTTTAAGAGTTCTTTCCTTTTAACATTATTTTAGTGGGCACTATTAATGTCCAAAAAGCTTCCTGTGAATGCTGCTGAAAGGAAGTAGATGGTGTTTCACTCTGTCTCTAATTAAGCTGATAATTGATCTGGATTTTAGCTGGAACCATTTTTTTGTGGGGGTTCTATCTGGATGACCCAAGGCCAAGAGCAAGTTGTAGCCTAGTTATGTGTTTTCCGTCCTGAAGGAAAAGGCTGGGCAAATAGACACAATTACGTAAGGTTGTTAATTATTTCATGAGTTGGTGGTTGATATTGGGAAGAGGGTGTAGGAATGAGCCGTTGCATAATTAGAACAAAGCACTATGTAAAGGTGTCTTAAGGCAAGGGAAAAAAAATTATGATGCCTCTGGGGCACTGTTGTTGCTTGCTGGTATTCATGACTGCAGGCAAAATAATTTTCACCTGTCATCCTGTTGGTGTCTTTGAGAGTGTCTG